TTTCTTTCTTTCTTTCTTTCTTTCTTTCTTTCTTTCTTTCTTTCTTTCTTTCTTCTTTCTTTCTTTCTTTCTTTCTTTCTTTCTTTCAATGTTGTTTCAGCTATAAAATATTCTTTTTTTATTGTTATCTTCAGTTAGCCAACATATATTACAACATTAGTTTTTGATGTAGTGTTTAACGATTCATTAGTTGCAGTATAATACCCATGCTCATCACAAACATGCCCTCCTTTATATCTATCATCCTTGTGATCATATTTGACAGAGAGACTTAACAAGTTGTTTGGATACTTTGAGTGCATGGCTGGGGCTGTTGCCTGTTGAGCTTCCCTGTACAGTGATTGGTGTGGAATAACTAGTTCACTGGGGACCCTTCATACATCAGTGGGTCTTTTTTGTTGTGCCAGTTAGTTTCTCCAGGAAGAAATTCTCCATTCCTTTGCTGGTGTCAAAACCTAACTTCTAATGTTCTTGGAGTGGAGTGGATGGAGGTGTCTGGGATCATTCAGGAGAAGACCTTTCCTATCTCCCTGTTTTCCATCTCCTGCTTTCTCTCTGACCTCACTGTGCTTGGTTGTAGGCTGCTGAGTCTTTCTGGTTCAATGTTTCTGGAGAGTATTTGTGGTAGAGAGAATTTTAGAGATGTCCCCCCAAGAATTCTATCCCCTGGCTCTCCCATTATACAGTAATCTATTCACTGTTTGTGACCTAGTTTAGACACTTCTGTGAGGGGAGTTTACAGATGCAATTAAGGAACTTATCAACGGACTTTAAAATAGGGAGATTATTCTGGATTTTCCGGGTGCATCAACAGAAGAGGAATACAGAAGATGAAGGCAGAAAAGGAGACACAAGAGATGTGGTAGAAGGAAAGTCAAAGAGATTTAAGGTATGAAAGATACTCATTGTTTCACTGCTAGGAAGAGAGAGAAGACAATGTGAGGAAGAATGCAGGGAGCTTCTGGGTTAAGTGTGGCTTCCAGGCAACAATCAGCAAGGAGATGGGGACCTTAGTCCTACAACCTCAAGGAACTGAATTCTACTAATTTCCTGGATGTGCTGGGTTTTCTTCAGAATTTTCTGATAAGTCTAGCCAGTCAGAACTTTGATTTCAGCCTGTGAATTCCAATCAAGCCAACCTGGACTTAAAACCAACAGAATTGTGAGGTAATATACAGATGTAGCTTTGAACGGTTAAGTCTGTCATAAAGTGTTATAGCAGCCATAGAAAATCAACACAGTAAAAAACTGGAGATGTTTGAGAAATATCAGGTGAAACAATAGTCTTAAAATGATATCAGAAGTGGTGTCTATTGTCAGAACATCCATGCATGTGGACTGGGTCTAACAATATGAAATCCAGATATGGCAAGGGCAATGGTGAGATTCTGGCTGATGTCTAAATACATGGCGGAGGAATGGGGAAAGAACTGAGGTCCATGGAAGAAAATGAGAAGAGAAGAACCTGGTAACATAACAGGACCCATTTCACTGGAACTGAGGTTAGGATGGGCTCCAGTCTTACAGGGTGAGACCATTGAGAAGAGTAGAAGTTCTTTGACTTGACCCATAGGTCACACATATGTTCAGGGCTTAGCATTGCATATCTGAGTCCTAAGGTCTGATTGATAGGAAAAATCTAACATTCAGCAATCATGCTTATGTACCGGCCCTGGGTATGAAAAGGGCATTCATTTTAAGGACCAATGTATTGTAAAAAGAGAGGTAGTTAGAGACTATTAACATCCTTCTGAACTCTTTTGAGACTGGCGATAGAACTGGTGAGGATATCTGGGGATTTGGGAGTGAAAAATCTAGGCGAGATGAAAGTGGTGAGGGGTGGTAGGGAAAGAGGCAGTTACCATTTTGGATAAGAGGAAATAGGGAGGGAGAGGAGAGGAAGATTATTATTTGCTTAGTGCCAATGACAGGAAAAGAAAGAAGTAGGATGGGTTTTGGGTGGGGAGATAAATGATTCTATTTAGCTTACATGAAATTTGCTTATACGTATTTGAGGTGTTGACAAGACATCAGACATTTGTGAGGACTAGAGCATGGACAAGTTGTCAGTGTTGGAGGCACAAATTTGAGTGTTTTCCTTATATGATAAATTGTTTGCAATCAGATTGGGAAGGCTGAAGATAATGAAAGAGTAAAAGCCAAATATGTAATGTATTTTACTATTTTTTAAGAAGCTTTTCCTCTAATTTGATCAGAATGCTAATCATTAATTAGTAATGAGATGTGACTGCCAAGTGATCAGAATGTTCTTGTTGTTTCATCAGTGTTGGTTCATTCTCTCTCTAATAATCACCATAAACTATAGATATTAATTTAGAAAGTAATGTTGGAAATATATAATAAGAGAATACAGAATGAGATAGTTTCAAGAGTTGTTTTCACCAGATTATGGGAGCCTAGTGAATCATAGTGTCCTATTATATGGAAAAAATCTTTAAAGTATTGACATATGTTCTTTGTCAGCCAGATAAAGCAACTTTTCCCCCAAGTCATGTTTTTGGGAGAACTAAAAATATTTCCCCTCAACTGTACTCCTTGTAGATTCCAGGAGTGTTGCTCC